GAATTGCAGCCTTATTTTATCTTCTTGATATGCGTATCCGTGAGGAATATTGGCGATCACCATGGCAGTCTTTATTTTGTTTGCATTAACGCGGAAAAGCTGCACAGATGTTGTGTTTAAACATTTTTTTTTAGCCAGTATGGTCTTTTTCCTCCTGGACGTTGCCTTTCAAACATTTTTCCCTACAAGATGGCTTTTAGGTGGACATATCTGGATTTATTTCGCATAATTTTTAGTACTCCTAGAATCTTCTTTATTCTTCTGAATACCTTTTTATTTGTAATTCGGTCAGTCCAAGTGATCTTGAATATTCTCCGATACACATATTTACACCATCAAACACGACAGAGAAGATATAACATTCTTACTTTTATACCAAGAGAGAGATTGTGACTTTTAAATAAGGACCTCATCTGGTTGAAGGTTAATCTAGCTTTTCCGACACTCTTATCTGCCGGTTGTTGTTCCATTCTTTATTTATAATAGTATCGAGGTAGTTGTAATGGTTTAATACTAGAGTTTGATCTACGTAGGATTGACTTTCTGTCATCTTTTTTTGTTAATTATCATGAGCTTTGTCTTCTTTAGGTTATATTGAGTCTATACTGTTGACTGTGGTATTGATTTTATTCATAAGGACTTGTAGGTCTTGTAGGTTGTCCGCAAATGTAATTTTTTCATCTGCATATCCGATGTTATTCATCCAGTAGGTATACAACTTTTTCGATTTCGTGTAAAGTTTCTCTAAATATTCTTTTAGGGTGAAAATAGAATATTAATGAAGACAAAATACAGCCTTGCCTCACTCCTGTAAAATTTCTTCTGATATTGTTTGTAGATAGCCACCTTAATTGGTCCCTTCATATCGATTTGTTAAGTAAGAAACTTAGCCTCAGCCTGCGAAATACGATCTGTTTCGAAGGAAATCAATTAAGCATCTTCCAAAATAACATACTTTTCATTGTTCGAGTCTCATCTTCGATATGGCCTTCCTTTTTGGGTTTCTAGTACAGCTGCCCATGGAAAATACCAGGAACTAACGAAGCCAATTAAATTGACCGTATACTCATCTAAAAAAGATGGACAACAGACATAACTAATGTCGATAGAAAATAGCGATAGTAGCAAAAGGGAAAAAATCTTCAAATCAAAAAATGGAATGTCGAAGGATTCAAAAGCGCAACAAGACACAAGATTACAGAAATGCTCTCCAAATAAAACTCAACCGAACTAGAGAGGAAGATACTGCAGATGAGGAATGGAAACAATTAAAAACAATTATAACGGAGTCAGCAGAGGAAACTATCAGAAAAGCCAAAAGGCAAAGAAATGCGGAATGGTATGATGATGAATGCAGAACTGCAGTAGAGGAAAAAGGCAAGCTAGGCTTAACCAACTTCAAAGAAACACAAGAAATAGCAGTGAGGTTTATAATGAAAAAAGAATACAGTCGACTACAATATGCAGACGAAAGAAAAGAGAGGCTATGAAAAAACAAGTACAAGAAATCGTAAAGCATAACAACAGACGCGAAAGCAGAAAATTCTATAAATGCATAAAAGAAAGCACACAGTCATTTAGACCCAAACTAATGATATGCAAAGAGAAGGACGGAGAACTACTAACAGAGAAGCAAAAAATTATATGATGGAAACAATATTTCGAAGAAAATCTAAATGCAGACAACGAAAATTATCAGAACAAGACAATATATTATACGGCGGAACCGCACATCGAAAATCCGAGTTATAAAGAAGTAGTTCAGATAATAAATAAACTAAAAAACAATAAATCACCAGGAACGGACGAAATTTCGGCAGAATTATTAAAGCATGGAGGATCCGAACTCTGGGAAAGAATCCATTACCTAATAACATTAATATGGACGAAGGAGCAAATGCCAGAGGAATGGACAGTTGGTGTCATACAGCCAATATATAAAAAAGGAGATAAGAGGGAATGCCAGAATTATAGGCCAATTACATTGCTAAACGTAATATACAAAATTCTTTCTGGTATAATCTACAATAGATTATTAGAATACTCCGAAAATAGAATTGGTGATTATCAAAATGGATTTAGACCAAATAGAGACACTACAGATAACATAGTTATATTAAGAACGATACAAGAAAAAGCTTAAGAATACGACATAGACCTTTATAATATGTATATAGACTTTAAACAAGCTTTTGATAGTGTGAAAAGAGACAGAAAGCTTTAAGACCTTTGTAATCTAGGTAAACCTAAGAAATACATGAGCCTCATAAAAATGACGTTGCAGGGTCCAAAAGCCGCAGTCAGAGTAGATGGAGAACTGACTCCCCTGTTTAACATCAACATGGGAGTAAGACAGGGAGATGCCTTATCAACCATGCTATTCAACCTAGTTCTTGAGACAGTCATCAGAAAAACCAATATAACCGGCTATATAAACACCAAATCAGTACAAGTTACTGCATATGCAGACGATGTAGCCATCATTAATAGGAATAAGCCACGACTAATGGAAGTGTTCAAACAAATTGATCCTGAAGCAAGAAAAAGAGGTCTCAAAATAAACGAAGCAAAAACGAAGTATATGACAGTCAAAAGAATAACTGACAATGAAAATAATATCACAATAGACAACTATACTATCGAACGAGTGGATGCCTTTACATATCTCGGCACAGAAATAAATCAGAAGAACTCCGTAAGTAGCGAAATTAATGCACGTATTTCCAGCGGGAATCGTACATACTATGCTAATAAAAGATTGATGACATCGAAATTATTAGACAAAAGAACCAAAATGACTATCTACAGAACACTGATTAGACCCGTAGTAACCTATGGATGTGAAACTTGGGTAATGACGAAAAAAGATGAAGCCCAACTCAGGACATTCGAGAGAAAAATACTGAGGAAAGTATATGGCCCGCTACAAGAGGAAGATGGCACATGGAGAATCAGGAGAAACGACGAGGTTAATGAGTTAAATGAAGGTTATAACATTGTAAGATTTGTGAAAAGTCAAAGACTGTCATGGCTGGGACACGTGCAGAGACAAAACGATGGAAAAACAACAAAGAAAATGTTACAATGGAAGCCCATAGGAAGGCGAAAAAAAGAAAGGCCCAAACGAGATGGTTGAATTTTATGTGGAAGACGACCTGAAAACAATGAACATAAGACAATGGAGAAGAAGGGCACAAGAGAGATCTGAATGGAAGGACATAGCCAGACAAGCAAAGACCCATCCAGGGTTATGATGCCAAAAGAAGAAGAAGAAGTACAGCTGTCCAATATGATGTTATTTTTAAATTACAAAAAAGAGCAGTAGGGTTCTTTTTGTTAGAACAACACATTGCAGAAGCTACTTCAAAAACCACGGGATATTAAATCTCTCTTTATCTATTCTAGAAATTGTTTGCTTAATTCGTAAACCCCTACATGTTTTTCCAGCAAGACCTAGTCATGAATACTCCACAAGAAATTCAAGCTTTGATGTGTATTTACCTATCTATCTGAAAGACCATATTATAGAGTACGATTAGGCACAAGCAACAAAGTAATTTTATATATATTTAGGTATCACATGCAGCAGCTTAAACTTATTCGTAAACTAGTTTATAAGGTTTTATTATGCAATTTGCAATTTAGTAAACGCATATTTATATTTGTATTCTATTATGTTCATATTTACCTGCCAGATCATATCCCGTGATTCCAATACAAGATGACACCCATAGAAAAGCAATGGTTCTGTCATCAAGATTGTGCAATTCTTGTCTAACGAGTTTGGTCACAGGATGAGAAGAATACATTTTAGAGATGACTTCTAGAGAATTTAGTGAGTCTTTAATTATAAGGAAGTTCATTTCAGGACTTTTTGTTACGTGACATATGGCTTTATATATTGCAAATAGTTCTCCTGTTAAAATAGTATTAGTCTCCGCTAGTTTGTATGTCTTTATTTCATCCTTTGTTGCAAAGGCAGATGTTAAACAATATTATGTCTTAAATCCATCGGTAAATAACTATTTGAATGAGGAAAATTAAAAAATTATGGTTTGATATTTGGAACTAATGTAATGACGAGTCATTTCATTCCTATTTTCTGACAATAGATCCAAATTTATATGAGGAGATATTAGCCAAGGACGTATAGTTGATTTTAAATTACAAAAAAGAGCAATAGGTCTCTTTTCTGCCTCAGTAGAATAACACATTGCAGAAGCTACTTCAAAAATCATGGGATTTTAACTCTTTCCTTATATATTTTAGAAACTGTTTGCTTAATTCGTAAAAACTTACATGTTTTTCCAGCAAGACCTAATCGTGACTACTCCACCTGAAATTCAACTTTGGATTTGTATTTACTGAACCCGTTCACTGAGTTAATAAAGAAATCTATATTATATTCGGCAAACATTTTTAACGTATTTGGTGTGTTCGATTCGATTCACATTCGATTCTAAGATTTGATGTTTGATCCAAGTAGAGGTTCCAACTATTTTGAGATTTTTGTTTTTAATTCCTGTTTCTTTTAGTATTTGCATCATCTTGGCCTGATATTTTTGGTCAAACACTTTCCCATAAATAACCAAACATGCGTATCTATATGCACAAAAGGCATCTCTGCATCTTTGGAATAGGCTTGTACTGAAGACACAGCCTCTCTCATACTAACAACATTCACCAACCCAAACTGGTTGGAGGAAATTCGACTCTTACACAGTTTATACTTTTAATAAATTGTGAAGTTTCTGTTAGCTATATTTCCAAAATACATAATTATATGATCAAAACTATACTCTCTAATTTTAAACCACTGTGTAAAATAAACTACTTGGTTTACCAATCTTACATTCGCTAGTTAATGTTCATACAAACGAGCCAACAATACAATTTTTTTTTTTCTTAGCAATATCTCTGATCTAACCTAAGTACCTTTCATTCTGTTCTCATAATAATTAAGATGATAACAAGACATTATTTTAATGTTTATCTTTTAGGTCGACATCCAGCCAAAGGCCTCTGGGGAATGAAGCACACGAGAAAACCAGTAGATTACTTAGTATCCCAGGCAAAAAATCTTCCTCCTGATGTCATTCTCCCCATAATAGATTTTCAAGTCACCCAAGATGGAGTCAGCTACGTGGAATCGGCAAATAAAAAAGTACACTCAGAGCCAGTGAGGTTTGCTGTGGATAAAATATCGTACGGTGTTCAGGATTTGGTATATACCAGAGTTTTTAGTATGATTGTAGTTACGGAAGACAACCTCGACAACGGTATTCCTTTTGTATGTCATAGTTTTGTTTGTGAATCTAGGGATCAAGCTAGAAGGATCACGTACGCTTTAGCTGCAGCTTTTCAAGATTATGGCAGAAAGGTTAAGTCCGAGAATGGAGAAAGAACTGTTAAAAAGTTTGCTATCGATTTACGAACGCCAGAAGAGCAGGCTGCTGCTTCTGATGGAGAAACTGACGCTTAGATCCTTAGATTTCCTAAATTTGTTTTATGACAAAGCTGTTTTTGATATTTTTAGAACGTAATGTTTTCCATTTTTTAAATATTAAATATTGTTAAGGATTTGGCATTTTATTTTAAAGAAATTCATAACTAGGCGAGTGGGTTAGCAAGCAGAGTATAAACCGAATACTGCTTTTGGCATTTCTAATGCACAAACCTTTTTTATTCGATACTATACAGTGGTGAGTGCCTTATCACCCGGCTTTTTAACGTAAGAGATAGAAAACACAGTTATCTTGTAAAATAAAAGGAGATGAAACTCGTAGAGGTGGGAAATAATCGATAGAAACCTATAATTTACATTACAGTACATTACGACTATCGATAGTCTCACACCTTTAGACGTTACCTTCTATCCAAATCACCTCGGTCATAATTATTATGTTTGACAGTTTGACGTCGTATGTGTAACGTATTTCCATTTTTTAATTTAGATAAAGTAAAAAACTTTTATCTTAATTGTTTTAACTTAATTTAGATTTTTAATTTAGATTACGTATTCTAAAGTTTTAAATTATTAACCAAGAATAATTTCTACTATGATTTGAGGAGTTTCATACACTCTTGTCACAGAATAATTAGCAATCCTTCGTGGATTAGTGGTAAGAATTCGACTCTGCGACGCAGATGATTAGAGTTCAAAACCTACATGAGGTTTTCTTTTTTCTTTTCTTAATAGTTTGAAATCTTGCAGAGATCGTTTTGCTTTGAATCACTAAACATTTATGTCAGTCGTTACTAGTATTTGAAGTGTTTAAAGTTAAACATAAATATCTTATAGAAAAAATAGTGTCGTCGTACTTTCGAAAATAAAGTAAAAATTCTTCAAAATTAAAAGAATGTTTTAATAAGTAAAAATTGTACAGAAATAAAAAAATATTGTAAATAAACGTATCTACAATATGTGCAAATAAGCCTTCATTATCAGCAGAATAATAACCCAAACTGTCACTAAATGAATTATAAAAGTCTGATGGATCAAGGTTCAAAGCACGATGTACTCATGCAGGCGGTTAGGGTTCAAATCCTACACGAAGTTTTTACTTTTTTAAAAATTTGAAATTATGCAGATATTATATCGTTTTGCTTTAAATCATAAAACATTTATTTCAGTCTTTATTAGAAGGGTTTATAGTAAAACATAAAAATCTTATTGAAAAAACAATGTCGTACTTTCGAAAATAAAGTAAAAATTCTTCAAACATAAAAGAACGTTCTAAATAAATGTATTTACAAAAAATGTTTAAATAAGCAGAAATTCTATAAAAATATTCTAAATAAACGTATTTTATTCTAATGAAATGTATTTACAAAAAATGTTCAAATAAGCCTCCATTAGCAGCAGAACAATAACTCAATATATTATAAAAGTTTCGTCTAACATTAGTTAATGTTTCTGGACTAATACCTCTCATTGAATCAGAGATCTTTTCTCTTAATTCTTGGAGAGAATTAGGCCTATCGTCTTTAATTCCATATAGTTTGGACTTGATATGTCCCCACATAAAAAAAATCACAAGGTGCAAGATCAGGTGATCTTGCAGGCCAAAAAATATCTCCGTGTCCACTAATCAATCGATTAAGAAAAGTCGCACTGAGATATTCACTGACGATGCGAGAATTATGTACAGGACAACCATCGTGTTGAAACCATATGGAATCGAAAGGAATTGGTAAATTACGAAGGGCTGAGACAATTTGATTTAGCAGAAGTTCCAAGTATTTCCGCCCAGTCAACATACCGTCTATAAAAAATGGACCAATGACATGATTCCCTATTATGCCTCCCCAAACATTTACTTTTTGAGGACGCTGGGTACGAGCGACATAAATCTGACGAGGATTTCCTCGGGACCAATACCGAGCATTGATTGAATTGTGAAGGCCATGCAATGAAAACGTACATTTATCGGTGAACAAGACGTTCTCTAAAAAATTTTCATCTTGATGTGACATTTCCATTGCAGTTTGACAAAATTCTAAACGTCTATATTAATCCCCAGGGAATTGTTCGTTGGATTTATGAAGTTTATAGGGTCGGTATCCATGTCTTTTCAAAATTTTACCAACTCTAAATCTTGAAATTCCATATTGTTCTCCGATACGAGATGTTGATTGGGTAGGATTTTGCTTAATATTTGCACAAATCAAAGTGTCCCTTAGTTCCAAATCTGGATTTACCTCCCTTCGTCTACGAACTCCTCTTGGAGCGAACACGGATCCATAAGTAAAAAAAATACGTAAATTACCGTGCAAAAACACTTCTCGATATGTTATTATTTGATGGCTTAAAGGCTTCGCTTTGCGCGCATCCATTCCAATGTTGTCAATTGTTTTGAAAATCATTACCTGTACAGAGGAATTGATATTAACATTGAGAATTTAGTGATGGATTTGATATAAACAGTCTTCACCGGATTATTTTGCATTCACAACTGAAGACTGTATGAATTGAATTTGAATTATCTTGTATTTCCGTTTTATAACATTGGAATAAAAATAAATTATTTTTACTATTAAATAAATTTAAAGATTTATAATTTAAAATCGCTACTAATGAATGTATTTTACTATAATATATCTTAATTTATTCACGTATTTATTCTAACATCAGAAATGATTAAAATAAAATATTTTTGAGGTTATCCGTATAATTATGACTGAAGTCAAATAACCACGTCTAACGTCTAAAGGTGTGAGACTGTCGATGGTGGTAATGCAATTTAATGTAAATTATAGGTTTCTATCGATTATTTCCCACCTCTATGAGTTTTATCTCTTTTTATTTCACAAGGTAACTGTGTTTTCTATCTCTTACGTTAAAAAGCCGGATGGTAAAGCACTCATCACTGTATATCGATGGCTTACACGTAAAACCCGGTATGTCTGATAAACTATATTTTTCAGAAGGCGATAAAATGTATTTAATTTAAAAAAAAAGGTACTTTTTATAACATGAGTTGTTTTTTAGCCACTATAATAGCATGTTTAATAATACAAAAAGAACAAAGAACGTAACCTCGTTAATTATTGTTACTGACTCTTACATAATGAGACATACAAGTTTTAACACTGCAGCAGAAGAGACATGCAAGGATTTGCAATGTTAATAAAGAATTTTTTGTAGACTGTACTGATTTATTTAAAAAAAAATACTTACATATAATAATATTTAATAAAAAAAAATCATACAAATAAACTCAGATTTTTTATACAGGATACAATCACAATATAAAATTTAAAAAAATCAACAGGAGAAAATTCAATGTTAAAAAAATCAGTATTTTAAACAATAATAGACTTCGTGGAAGTCTTTGGGAGTTAGACTCTTTAGTTCTTGCAAATGCAAACTCATGGAGTTTAATCTTTTGTGGGCATTGGTACAGCTGTTTTGGCTCTTCAAATGTATCAGTTTTTCGTATTTTTTTTTCTTAACAGAACCCCGTTTTCATCAAAACCTAATGTCACAGCCATTTGATAATTATTTTGTTTGTATACCGCTTTGAACGTTGAAGTTACAAAATCTCTTATTGATATTCGTCGAAAATTTTAGCTATAAAACCTTTTTAAATCATAACAATCTTTCCACTTGTCGGCAATAATTTTTATGTTTTATCGTAATCACATCAATTTATTTGTTTATTTAAACGCGAGAGTGGTGTAATAAAAATTGATGAGGTTTTTTCAGTTTTTTAAGACTCTTGGAGCTGAGCGGTCGTTATATCCGTGGAGTAATATTTTAATTTTGTGTATGTATGGATTGATCTTTATAAGTGACAATTTTGTTACATTATTTCTTAAAGCACACGATAAGTTTTGTTGGAAACTGGCAAATATAGATTTTCAATAATTTTGAAGTTTAATTTTTGTAATATACGAACCGTGTATTTTATACGCAAATTTGGGTAGAGTTGCGTTGGTACACACTTCACACCTAATTTATAAAAGACTTCTTTCTCCGGAGTGTATTTTAATGCTGGCAGGTCTGTAACAGTGAATTCTCCTGCTTTCGTACCTGGTCTTATTGAGGCATACAGTGCTTTTCAGATAAAACTATCCACCTTAAATAACTTTTGAACCTCTAATTTTTTGGAAAAACGCAAAAACACGTGAATTAATATTTGAAGGGGGAGACGTTATTTCATAGTTAAGGTTGCTGGGAAATGCACCCTTTCACCCCCTGTATCAACCCTTTATTTGTTTTAAATTACTTCCCCCTTTTTTCATTTTATATTTAGATTCTCATTTTTGTGTTGATTTCAAAAATGTATAATACCTTTGGCTTGAAGTGATTAGTTTATGAGATAGACAATTTTCCTGTTAACAAGGATAGTATCTCTCTCACCTTAAATGACTGTAACAAAATAGGTTGTAGCATAATTTAAACTTTTTAAATACTTAAGCTTACTATTTGTAGTACCTTCAAAAACCAAGAAATAAAAAAATTCAGTTTTTATTAAAGTTTTATCAGAAGTTAAAGATAACCTTTCCGAAGATTTGGTTGTATTTCAACATGATAGAGCTTCTCCATACTTTGCTTTACCTATGCGATAATTTTTAAACGAAACGTTTCTTGGTCCTTGGATAGGGTAAAGACGATAGATGATCGATTAACCACCTAGGTCACCGGATTGAACACCACTAGACTTCTTCTTTAAAGGGTATTTAAAAACAAAAATTTATGCTATTCAACCAGAATCTCTAGATGATATACGACAAAGAATAGAGGATAAATGTCAACAATTAAACGCAGACGTGTTAAGCAATGTCAGAGAAAAATTTCAAAATAGATCATACTATTGTATGGAAGTGAAGGTCAGTCATTTTGATCAATTATTGTAAAAAAATTTAGTGGTGAAATGTTCATTCTAAATGTGTGTAATAAATTGTTAAAAAATAATTTTTTTCTATCCAATTTTCTTGCTTTTGTATTTATTTTTCTCATACACTAATCACTTCAAGCATCATATATTATACATTTCTGAAATCAGGACAAAGAGGAGAATCCAAATATCGAATAAAAAAAGGGGGAAGTAATTTAAAAAAAATAAAGAGATGATACGAGGAGTGAAAGGGTGCATTTCCCAGCAACCTTAAATATGGTATAATGTCTCCCCCTTAAAATATTAATTGACGTGTTTTTTGCGTTTTTTCCTAAAATTTAGAAGTTCAAAAGTTATTTAAGGTGGATAGTTTTATCTAAAAAGCACTGTATATTACGGACTTTGAGAAATCCATAAAAAAAGAATGGTTCAGGTAAACTACTTCGTAAGGTTTTGGGTTCCTTCTGGCGCTTTTCATTATTTTTATATATTCAGCTGGAACATAGATTTCTCGATTTCTGACTTGTCTTTCTATTTGAGCGTGGATGGAGTCACACTTCATTTGTGTGTGCCAATGTTCCAAGTATTTTTGTACAATAGTTATAGTTTTCTTTGCACACGGGAGTAAAAAACTGTTTGTCAAATTTGAATTGAAATTTTGGTAGCAACAACTGTCACTCATAATTATTACTGTTTCATTAGGATGCCGTTTCAAATAATTTTCGATGTGGTGAGTGATTATTGAAGCAAACTCATTGGAAGTGACTTCTTCTCCCTCATGCCAAACATAGCACCATCTTTTGTCTTGTTATACACTGTATAGTTCTGTACAACTAGCTTTGATTTATAATATAAAGCAGAAGCTTTTAAGGATGGTGCTAATAAAATAGCTTGCTTGTCTACTGTAAGTACATGATCTGTACTTTGGCTGTGATAAGTTTTTTTATTTCTTGGCAATTCCTTTTTTAATGAGTGATTTTCGTATGCTTCTTGCAGTTATCCTTAGTGGCACACTTTTTATACTCATAGGTTACACCCATATACATAAAAAGCAATTTAAGTAAACTTTTCAGGATGATCTGCTAAATGCTGAAAAAGTTATATACAGGGAAATGTAACTTATTCTTTAAAATACACGCAGTAAATGCCGCGTCTTGTCATTGAAAATCGAGGCTTCTATGAAGTTAAAAATAATGGGGATTTGCTCATAATATATATATATATATATATATATAATATATATATATATATATATATAATATATATATATAGTATATATATATATATATATATATATATATATATATATAAATAGAGTGTGTATAACGACGCTAAGAATACAATTCTTTGGAGGGTAACTTTCGGGAAAGCGTCAAAACAAGGATCAGCTAGAGATGGTATAAGCCAGCTTGGTGTAGAACTTTATTCTATATGTGAAATTTTCGGTGATATGTTGTCACCTTCATCAGCACCTAAATGGAAAACCTATTATAGTACAGTGGTGGAAATCAACATTTAAAAACCTACATTGAAAATGTTCAGTTAGTCCTAGTTGTAAAGAACACTGTCACAAACATGTTAAAAATATTAAAAAATACATTTAAAATTTTGAATAAAAACATTACAACAACAGGGTGTGTTTGTATTTGAAAAACTACCCTGTTGTTGTAATGTTTTTATTCAAAATTTTAAATGTATTTTTTAATATTTTTAACATGTTTGTAACAGTGTTCTTTACAACTAGGACTAACTGAACATTTTCAATGTAGGTTTTTAAATGTTGATTTCCACCACTGTACTATAATAGGTTTCCCATTTAGGTGCTGATGAAGGTGACAACATATCACCGAAAATTTCACATATAGAATAAAGTTCTACACCAAGCTGGCTTATACCATCTCTAGCTGATCCTTGTTTTGACGCTTTCCCGAAAGTTACCCTCCAAAGAATTATATATATATATATATATATATATATATATACGAAGAATGTTGCGTTTCGATATATATATATATAATATATATATATATATATATATATATATATATATATATATATATATATATATATATATATATATATTATGAATAACTATACAAGAAAGTCATATCATATTATATCGCTAGAATGAAAACTGATAGAATCAATATTGTGTATTGTATTGTGTATCAATATCAAGCAGCAAGCATTGTGCTTTAGTATCTGCTGTTCAAGCTGGAGTCAGTGAACGAGATCTAACTAAGTGCAACAATGCAAAAAAAATTGTGAAATGACATTAGCGAGAATAAAGAAAATTGGGAGAAACACCATTGGATGGATTTTTTGCATTTTATATAAAACCCGAAAAGTAAACATCTGTTTCAAAATGCTTTAAGTTTTAATAAATTTTGTTCGAGCAGAGAACACAACATTTCATACAATATATTTAATATATAAATATTCACAACATTTATTATTTACATTTAAAAAAAAGTACTTATCTAATTCCTGAAGCAAAAAATCTCAGCTACATTAAAATAGCGAAGGCAGTAATCTTAGTTTACTTTTTTCTTATCGTAATTCTGAAACAAAATGATGTATTAGTTGTACCTTAAAAAGATAAGCATCGTTAAAATATCTATGATACACGAACACTTCCCGATATCTTTTAAAGAGAATAGATATAAAAAGGTGAGTCATGAGTTTTTAAAACCAAATATTGTTCATAACTAAGCATTCATTGCAATATAAACATTGTTTATTAATTTAAAAATATAATTATAATTTTAGAAAAACTACACTCAAAATAGTGAAAAAAAAGAAAAAAGCGAATATATATATATATATATATATATATATATATATATATATATATATATATGTATATATATATATATATATATATATATATATATAATATATATATATATATATATATATATATAAGTAAAGAGTAATGACATGTCTCGCAAAACAAAAAAAAACCAAAAATGGTTTTATTTAGCGTATGGCAATTTGATACACAACATTATCACATATATGTTACAATCTAACATCTAATGTATTAATATATTCAATCGACGCTGGTGTTGCTGAAGCGAAGTCTAGAGGATCTCCATAATACTTCCTCCGAGGGCATTCGGCAATCATATGCTGGATGGTCTGTTTCTCGGCGCCGCAGTCGCACTCAGCAGAGGTCCTCATCCTCCAGTTATAAAGGGAATCTGCGCAGACTCCATGACCCGTTCTTATCCTGTTAAGAGTTGACCATGATTTTCCAGGGAGGTCAAAACCTGGTGGAGTTTCTGTGATGCATGATGTGTTTCTCATTATTAGGTTCGGTCTGTCGCTCTGCATGTTCTTCCACTGGGAGTTCGAAATTTTGGAACTCAAGTTTATTGCATCTCTAGTCGGAGGTTTTCTGGAGCGCAATCGATGTGAATTAGCGTCGGCGACATATGTGTGTATAGGTAATTGCGGGTTGTTAAGCAGCTTTTGGAATTCTCTAAGCAGAGCATGCCGATGACGAAGATTAGGTGGAGGTATATGGCTCAGTAGTGGAAGCCACTCCACAGGTGTAGACTTGATCGTTCCAGATATGAGACGCATGGCGACATTGAGCTGGGTATCTATAATTTTTGTGTGAACGCTATTCAGCCAAACAGGAGAGCAGTATTCAGCTGCGGAGTATACGAGTCCAAGGGCTGAACACCGAAGTGTACCTGCTGATGAGCCCCATGTAGGCCCTCAAAGCTTCTGTATGATGTTGTTACGGGTTCTCAGCTTTGCTGCGGTGTTCTCAAGATGTTTCTTAAAGGAGAGTGTTCTGTCCAGGGTGACGCCGAGGTACTTGGGATTATAGTTGTGCGTGAGCAGTTGGTTATCAATGTATACTTTAAGTTTTGTGTGGGCCATTTTGTTGTTCAGGTGAAAACAGCTAACCTCGGTTTTTTTGGGGTTAGGTTTAAGTCTCCATTGTTTAAAGTACTTAACCAGGCGTTCCAGATCTTCCGTTAGGATTGCCTCGGAGTTTTGTATTAAGAAGCTTTGAGTTGCAAGTGCCCAGTCGTCTGCATATCCAAATTTTTTAGATCTGGTAGGGGGCATATCAGCTATATACATACTAAATAGCAGCGGTGCAAGTACGGAGCCCTGGGGGAGACCATTATTAAGCGTTCTCTGTTTGCTCCCTGTAGTTCCCATGGTTACACGGATGTTTCTACTGCTCAGCATAGTAGGCCCTCAAAGCTTCTGTATGATGTTGTTACGGGTTCTCAGCTTTGCTGCGGTGTTCTCAAGATGTTTCTTAAAGGAGAGTGTTCTGTCCAGGGTGACGCCGAGGTACTTGGGATTATAGTTGTGCGTGAGCAGTTGGTTATCAATGTATACTTTAAGTTTTGTGTGGGCCATTTTGTTGTTCAGGTGAAAACAGCTAACCTCGGTTTTTTGGGGTTAGGTTTAAGTCTCCATTGTTTAAAGTACTTAACCAGGCGTTCCAGATCTTCCGTTAGGATTGCCTCGGAGTTTTGTATTAAGAAGCTTTGAGTTGCAATTGCCCAGTCGTCTGCATATCCAAATTTTTTAGATCTGGTAGGGGGCATATCAGCTATATACATACTAAATAGCAGCGGTGCAAGTACGGAGCCCTGGGGAGGCCATTATTAAACGTTCTCTGTTTGCTCCCTGTAGTTCCCATGGTTACACGGATGTTTCTACTGCTCAGCATAGTATTTATGAGTCGGGCGGTTGCTTTGCAGGGGATTATTTTAAGGAGCTTATAGATGAGGCCATCTTTCCAAACCGTGTCATAGGCAGCCGATAAATCGATGAATGCCACAGACGTCTTCAGTTTTCTTTGGTAACCTTACTTAGTATAGTAACCTATACCAAAAATGGTATATAAATGGAAGGCAACCGTATATACGTATTTCTGACTATTGGTAGCTGTAGCTTCCTTCGTGGTTGGTGTTAGTTGTTGCCCTGGAAACCATCAGGGTCTTCTAACTCTCAGCATGATGTCCATAATTAAAAATATTTAATATTAAAAATAATTTAACTTATATAAGTTATAAGCTATGAGAAAAGCATCGTTATATATTATTTATAAGTAAAAACTGCTTGAACCACTTTAAGATTTATATGACTTTATGGACTCAACACCTTGTTTACCTCTTTAGCAGTCAGTTCCAAATGCTTAGCTGTAGTACTTCCAGTAGCATCTACCAATGTCCTCAAAAAACCATGTTCTGACTGTAGCAAAATATAAGGATGATCATATTCTTCAACGGTTCCACGATTCATTACCAGAATTCGGTCTGAATCCATCACCGTGTGTAACCTAAAATTGTAGAAACATACAGTGTGACCCATTTATATTGAAAACATTTCTATAGAATTTGAAGTTGGTAAATAATTTTAACCAATTGTTTTTTTCAAATGTCATATAATAAAAACTCTAAATTGGAACATAATATAACATGTTTGTTGAAATTGATGTCAGAAATTGATAATCCTATTTCTTCATAGTACTGATTTACGATTCTAATGTGACTTTTAAATTATCCTCACAGATACTTAACAATTTTCCTGCTGTATATAAAACAACATCATCAGCATATTGAAGAATTTTTGTATGGTTGATATACTAACTTCAAGATCTATGTTATACAGGATATATAAAATCGGGCTTAAAATACTCCCCTGTGGCAATCCAATATTAGTTAGTCGGGGGTATGAAAATTCGTCATTATTAATTTTTAAAAAAGTTAGTCTGTTAGAATATAAAGATTTTAAAAAGAGAGCAAACGATCTAGGGATTCCAATATACAACATTTTTTGGTAAAGAATGTCTAAATTGACATTGTCAAAAGCAGCAGAAATGTCAAGGAACGCAGCTGCTGTAGACTTATCTGACGTAAAATTAAGCTGAATTAAAGTAACTAGAGCTGTAGTTGCATCTTGAGTGGACCTAGACTTGCGAAAACCACATTGGGAACTTGGAAGTATACCATCGTGTTCTAGTCGATGTTTAAATCTATGTTTAAATGTTTTTTCAAATGTGTTTAAAAAACATGAAGATAAGGAGATAGGTGGGTAAGAACCTGAATCACGTTCTCGTCTGCCATGTTTTTTAATCGGAATTACCAGGTACTCTTTCCAACTATTCGTTACTGGTGTCTTATTTGTCCAAATATTGTTGAAAATTTTGACTAGTGAAATTTTATATTCTCTAGGTAAGTTGTATAACAGTGAGTATGATACATTGTCACTACCTGGAGAAGTATTATTTCGTTGTTTAAGGGCTCGATGCAATTCCCATAAATGAAAATTTTCGTCAAAATTGTGATTTTATCTGGGTGCTGTTTGGATATGTTCTTGTACAGTGTCGTCGTTTGGAACCCATGCAGGGGCAATTTTTCTATGGAATTTCTGCATCCATATATCTTCTGGATCAATAGGTACTTTGTTGTCTTTTTTGCGGTTTTTAAAACAATTAACTTTTTGTCAGACATCTTTTATTGGTGTTCTTGAGTTTGGGCTTTTGCAAAAATCAATCCAATTCTTCTTTTTCTTCTGTTTGAAGATTTTCTTTGCAATAGCATTTCATCTAGTCGTTTATACTCCATTAGGTTTTGGAGTGTTGGATGCTGTTTTTAATTTATAAATGCATGTTTTCTATTTTCAGCTGCTAACTGACAATGATTGTTCCACCATGGTTTCGGAATATGACCTTTGTTTTTTTTTTCTTTAATGGAAGAATGTTTTTGGGATAGCGACGTTAGCTGCCTGGTTTATATTTGCCAACAATTCTTCGTGGATTAATGATATTTTCATTGTTTTCAAAGTACTGGTATATATCATCCATTTGGCTCTGCTAGGGTTCCATATTCTATGTTTTCTACTGGATGTGGCTTTTTGCTTTGTGATTACAAAATAATTTGACATGATTAGATCCATAAGGTACTTGTAGAGTATTCCAACGAAAATGAGAGGAATATCTCGGAAACAAATGGTTAAGTCTACAGCAGAAGGTTTATTGGAAATAGCAAGAGTGGGGGACCCGTCGTTTAAATATTCTAAATTACAGTATTCTGTAGCATCTAGAAGATCTTTACCTAATCTATCATCAATTTCGCAGCCCCATGCCAAATTGTGTGCGTTAAAATCGCTTCCAATTATAAATGGTTTTGGTATATTTTCTAAAAAACTGATCCATTGCTGAATTAAAACTTTGTTCCTGGGTTCATTATATAGAGAAATTATATGTAAAGGTTTCTTGAAATGTAAAATTTTTATTGAAATACACTTATATGTAAACGAATACGTATTTTGAAAATTTATTTCTTCATATATTATGTTGGATTTCAAAAGGATGGCACAACCAACATATCCATCAGGGCGATCAGCTTGAACACAATTAAATTTTTTAAAATTATAATATTTTCCCGGTTTGAACCAGGTTTCAGATAATAGAGGTATAGTAATGTGGTTCTGATGAAGTAAATATTCTAAATTCTCTTTATTAGCAACTGCTGAACGACAGTTCCACTGTAAAATATTTATTTTATTTAAGTCTGCGAATTGGATGCTAGATTTTGGTTAAAATGGTTACTAATTATCTGAATTACATCAGCTTTTGAAATATTAAAATTATTATTTTGTTTAATTGAATTAACAATTGTAAGAACCGAATCTAAAATGACATTTATTACAAAAGAATTTAGCTCATCTGACCGTGAATCTGCAACGTTTAAGTGTTTTTTGGTAGAATTGACTTTTAACTATTCTATCAGGATGTTTTGGAGGGGAAAACTGTAGATATTATTTCTTTTCTAGCTATATCAGTTGGTCTGAATTATTTGGTTTCTGCCTTTTATTCCGGCCTACTGGTGTTTGTGTGAGGATTAAATATAAATTTAGCAAAATTATTTCCCTGGGAGAAAGTAGAAGGTTGTGAATTTTGTGGAAAATTTTATCATTGTTGGCTGTATTGGTCCCAAGAATACTAGCATATGAATTCTTAAGTACTTGTTTATTTGCATCGTAAAAATGAATATTTGTTAAACCCATCATCTCTTTTTTTAACGTTTGTCGTAAGAATTATGGACATGCTTAGATTTGTGGTCAAATGACTCCTAGTTGAGTTTCTTGGCATCTGCTAGATCTTGGCTGACTCCTACATTGATTTCCTAAGTGGCCGTATCTAAGACAGTTAGAGCATAACAAAACTTTCTGTTTATAGATTTCAACTTCTTTAATAACCTTATTGATTATTATATATTTAGGTAAAGTTTTCGATTTAAAGGTCACAACGCAAGACTTAGTAGGGACATATTCGACAATTTTTTCCTCATTAACAATTTTTTCTATTTTACGCGTAATTCTTTTAACATTTGCAATTTCAATCCAATGACTATCAAACTGTTTAATTCTATTTTTAATATACTCTTCCGATAAATCTTTGTCTATATCCCTAATAATTACTCCTTGTCTGTGTAAAATAAATTTTGGAATATACAAACCTAAATTATTTAAACGAAATATTTCTAGAGTTTTGTTTTTAATGAGGTTATTAGCAGTTTTAATAATCTTTGCATTTGACTCTAATTCTATTTCGGCCAATGGCGTCTATACTTGAAATCATATTGTCTGCTTCAGGAAAGTTAGGCAAAATAATTTCACCAATCTTTAAAGGATTTAGTTTACCTTTAAACTCAGTAGAGCTATTCTCGATATATACATGATATGAGCCTAGATCATTACTATTGAATAAAAATGCTTGTCTTACCTGTTTTGTAAGTTTTTGTTGTGTTTCATTCAGATTGGTTGGATTTGCATTATTTATCAAATTTATTGGTATTGGAGTACTTACAGAAAGATCCATTTTGGCATCACTTTAGTTCTCGAATATTCCAGACATAGCTGGTTTTGAGGGTTTTTTGGGGTCAGCTGACTATTGACACTCATACGGTAGGTGGTTCAATAAACGATATTGTTGTTAGCCAACGCCACAGATTTCACAATATAAAGCACAATATTAATTGTAAATTATTGCACGTCTAATTTCTATGAATACTACTACGGAACTGTATTTAATACTGTTTAAATCTCTAAAAATTTGTAAGTAAATTCAAAAGGGGTCTTTTAAGTTTCACAGATTTTTGACTAAATAGCAGTTGTAAATCAAGATTCATTAATAAAATATCTACATACCTATGAGCTACTGTTATCACCGTACAATCAGCAAACTTCTCTTTGATGGTGCTCTGAATAAATGCATCCGTATGAGGATCAACACTGGCAGTAGCCTCATCTAACACCAAAACTTTATTATTTCTTATTAAAGCTCTCGCTAAGCAAACTAACTGCCTTTGGCCAACACTAAAGTTGTGTCCGTTTTCTGAAACCATAGTGTCTAAGCCAGACGGAAACTCTTCAAGAACTTCTTTTAATTCAACTTGATCTAGAGCATCCCACAGTATCTCATCACTATAGTGGTTAAGAGGGTCTAGGTTTTGCCGCATGGAGCCTAAAAGCTAGTTATTAGTGATGTCAGAAAAAATAAAATATAGAATGTATTAATATTATTATACATTAATGTCATGACGTCTAAGCACCTTTCTGGGAGGAGTATTTTAATATATTTAATACTATTTGTACCGCCACTGGTATGCCGAATGCCAAAATGTCACAATGCCACAAATGTCTGATACGCCGAATAATGTGCGTTTTATGCCCACTGCAAATCAAGAGGTCGCCATTCGGAAGTAAATTGGCAAATCACTATAAATACGTTTCCTGTGTATACTTAATACACAACACAGGTATTTGCAGACGAAAAACCTACGCCGGCATTGGGTATGCAATCACAAGAAGAAGTACTATTTATGGGAAGGATGAAATAGTTATATTAATTCAGTTTAACTGTCTGTTTATCTTATTCTTCAAGTTCCACTCCTATCGGAGATTGGAAATCATTCTAGCAATTATAATTTTGTTGGTTACGCGCCTGAATAGTTCAATTGAACGGCATCCAAACCATTCACGGAGATTGCGTAGCCACGAGATTTTACGTCTTCCTACGCTTCTTCTACCTTTGATTTTACCCTGCATTATATTCCTTAGTATTTCGTACTTTTCACCTCTCATGATGTGCCCCAAGTATTCAAATTTCCTGATTTTTATGGAATTTAAAACTTGGCATTGTTTTTCTAGTTGTTCGAGAACTTGTTTGTTGTTTTGCGATCCATCCATGATATTTTCAAATACGTCGGTAACACCACATCTCGAATGCTTTAGGTTTTTAATGTTGGATTTATTAAGTGTCCAAGCTTCAACTCCATACAAAAGGGTAGAGAAAATATAACATCAAAGCATTATTATCCGGAGCGATATATTCATATCGCGATTACAAAAAAGTTTTCTCATTCTATTAAAAGTTGACCGTGCAATTTCAATGCGGCATCTTATTTCTTTTGTCTGATCAGTATCTTCTGTGATCCATGCTCCAAGGTATTTGTACGAAGATATTTGTTCAATTTCTGTATTATCTAGTACTAGCTTAACTTTGATGTTTTGTGCTTGTTTAAATACCATGAACTTGGTTTTCTTTAAAATTTATTTTTAGTCCATAATCGTTGCAATATATATTTAGTTGTTCAGCAAGGTGTTGCAGTTCTTCTAGTGTTCCTGTCAGAAGGACGGTGTCGTCAGCATATCGTATGTTATTAAGTGGCTCACCATTTATTATAAGGCCCTCACTGATCTCGGCAAGCGCTAATTCTGAGATGGCTTCACTGTATAAATTGAATAACAAGGGTGATAAAATACACCCTTGGCGGACCCCACAGCGAATCTGGATATCCTCGGTCAGTTCGTTTTTAACTTTCACTTTTGCTGTTTGGTTCCAATAGAGGTTACAGATGATTCTGATGTCTCTACTGTCTATGTTTTTATTCAATAAAATTTCTTTAAGCCGATTATGCTGCACTCTGTCAAATGCCTTCTCAAAATCAATAAACGGGCATATACTTCCTGATTAATATCTAAGCATCTCTGCGAAAGAACACTTACTGCAAACAGTGCATCTCGTGTTCCCAGTCCTTTCCTAAATCCCATTTGTGTATTACTTATGCCTTCATCTAATTTCTTATATATTCTATTATGAATTACTTTTAAAAACAATTTCAAGACATCACTCATTAAGGCTATGATGCGATTTTCATTGCACTCCTTTGCATTGGCTTTTTTGGGAAGCAATATGAATGTTGATTGGAGCCATTTTTTTGGTATTATACCTGTTCTATATATGTTATTGAATAGATATGTTTATCAAATAGGTATAATTCTGTAGTCTGGGTTGTGTGTTTTGTCTACTTCATCCTTCTCGTGGCATACTCATTTCACAACTAACATCCGGATATATTCTAACTACATCAAGATGCGCATAGTGAAGAAGTGGAGTTAAGTGCTTTCTGCAAACGATGCAATAAAATGTTTTAAATCATTTAAAATGTGAAAATTGTCCAAATTTCGCTCACCCAAGTTGTGTAACAAGGGTTACACGCAAAGGCATCTCCTTGGAACAAAAACATTTAACATCAAATAAAAACCCAGATCGTCCACCTCCAACACTACCATTGACGCTGCTACTGCTACGTCTGCCATAAATCCAGAATTTTATGACATGTGGTTGACTTTTTAAAGACGAATTACATGCTATTAAATTTTCTGGCGGATATTTTGAAGTTTAGTTTATCTCATGTAATCAAATGAACTATCTTCCGAACTATCTGAACAATAAAGTCATACCAGAAATGCAATATTGGCAATATCATTTTAAAGTCGTCTACTTTAAAATGTATAACATATGTCTAAATTGTCAATATAAATGAGTCAGATAAAATTAAATTATTAGAGAATTTTTCACCAAGTACAAAAAAAGAAAATTTGTTTAATTTATTAATGTTGGTATTTTGAGAACGATTTCCGAAGTGGAAATTGAAACGTCAATAAACTTATTTTAACCTTCAATTGTGACTTATTCTCAATAAAATTGTATATACTCTAAAATGTTTCAAGAAAATAGCTTCAGAATAATATAAAAGTTGGTACCTGAAAATAAAACCGGCTCTTGCGGAATTATAGAAATCCTCGACCTGATTATATCCACAGGTATTCGTGTAATATCCAGTCCATCTATAAGTATCGATCCTTCTAAAGGATATAACTGAAACAAAGCCCCGATAGTCGAAGATTTCCCTGCTCCTGTTCTTCCTACTATTCCCCACTTTTTCTCCTGGTTTCACCAGGAAGTTTAAATCCATAAGGACATATGGGTCTGTCTCACCGTACTTCAAAAACACATTTTTGAATTCAATTTCGCCATATTCAGGCCAGTTGGCTGGTATTATTGGTGGTTTTGTTCTAGTAGGCTCAGTTTCTAGTTTTGTGTAATCCAATATTCTTTCAACTGATGTCATGTTATTTTCAAGTTCAGTCCATTGTCGCATTCCCCATTGTAGGGAACCCATGAGGCTTAGATATTGAGTAATTACCAAACCCATATCTCCACCATACAAACCTGCAAAAAATATAATATACAGGAGATATATTGTAAGATAAACTGTTGTTTTATAATAAAAATCACACAAATATGTTTTTATAGAAAGGAAGACTTTGTTAGTATATCATCATCATCATTAATAGCGCTACAACTCTTCGTGAGTCTTTGACGCGTTTACTATTGCCTTCCATGTTTGTCGGTCCTGTGCCAGTAATTCATATTGTCGCACTCCCATTTTCTATAGATCTTCTTTGGCTGCATCTTTTCACCTTTTTCTAGGCCGCCCTACAGACCTCCTTCCATCTGGCTTTTCCCAGAACACATTGTTTAATTGTTTATAACGCGATTGTCGTTACTGCGTAACACATGCCCTGCCCATCTTAGTTTATTGACCTTTATATATCTGACTAGATTTTTTTTCCGAATAGAGACTCTAGCTCGTTATTGTATCTTCCCCTCCATTCGTTTGTCATGCTGTCTCTGCAAGGGCCATATATCTTTCGAAGAATTTTACGTCCCACACTAGCAATTTATTTATTTCCCTTTATGTTAGCGTCCATGTTTCGCTTCCATACGCGACTGCTGGTCTTATTATGGTCTTATATATCCGGATTTTTTACCTTGTGAAAGAAGTTTTGACTTCATTAGATGTTGCATTGCAAAGAAAGATCTGTTTCCTGCCATTATTCTCATTTCAACTTCCCGCTCTAATTTGTTGTCATTTGGGATTGTTGCTCCTAGATATTTAAATTCTTTAAACTTTTCGAAGTTGTGATCATTTATAGTAATGTTTTGCCTTATTCGCCGTCGTTCTTGTTTTGAGACGACCATGTATTTTGTTTTGTCTTCAAATGCTCAAAAATATCCTTAATTTCTAATGTTGATTGTACCTACTGCGTCTACGTCATCGGCAAAGGCGAGTATGATTTTTGCTCCCCAATCAGTTATGTCTGGTTTGATTTTTGGATATATTTTTCGCATGACATATTCTAACGCCAGGTTAAACAACAATGGGGACAACGCATCTCCCTGTCTTCAGTCCAGAATTTACGCAGAAAGCATTTAATATTTTTCCCCCTATTCTAACTTGTGCAAAAGAGTTACTTACACACATTTGTGTTACCGCAGCGAGCTTCTTGGATACGCCGAGCTCGATCATTGCCTTCCATAATGTTGCACGATTAATTGAATCATAAGCCTGTTTGAAGTCTATAAAAATTTTATACACGTCGTGATTATATTCTCAATACATTTTAAGCATTTGTCTTATTGTAAATATTTGATCAATAGTCGATCTGCCAGGTCCTGAAACCACACTGGTAGTCACCAAATATTTCTTCGGCGTATCTTTTAAATAATATCGAAGCCAATATTTTATATGCAGTGTTGATTAGTGAGATTCCTCTGTAATTCATGCATGATTCCTTTTTTCCTTTCTTGTGTATTGGTACAATAATACTACCACACCATTCTTTCGGCATTATTTTTTTGTTTCCAGGCCATTTCTATTAAGTGATGGATTTTACTTACGAATTCATGACCGCCTGTTTTAATTAGCTCGGCATCAATATTGTCCAGACCAGGGGATTTATCGTTTTTAAAGCGTTTTTATGGCATGCGTAATTTCTTCCATGCTTGATGAGGATATTTCTAATTCGACCGTTTGATAATCATGTTCTCCATTGTTTTCCAGCATTTTCATTGTTTTCATCAGTGAAATTTTGGATATTCAGGAACTCTTCAAAATATTCAGCCCATATTCATTATTTGTTTCGCAGCAAGTATTTCTCCATTTTTATCTCTTACGAAGTTGGGTGTGCTTATATCAGTATAATATACTGATATAAACACATATTATGTATTAACAATTTCCAACAAACCAGCTTGTTATAGGAAGTTTAATGTAATTTCTTATCTATATAAGTGCACAGATGTCTAAAAATTCAAATTTAGAACCCGTCAAAATTCAGATAAGTTCTTACCACCTTTCGCGTCAAGCGTTGCTTCTGACAGAACGATTCATGTTACACAGCAACAATTAATAAACATTTTTGTTTAAAAATATCTCAGCTACAGTTTGTATTTGAAATATTATTTTTTCTACAGCTACAGATTCTTGGTAAACACAACAACAACACAAGAGTTTATGGACAGTTATGGGTTAGGAATGGTAAACTTTTTAGCAGATCGTTTTGGTCATAAACTTGACCTTCACAGCAATTTTTTTTGTATTTTCGTTTATTTTATTTCGTTTCTAATCTCTTCTATTCTTATCTCGATTTTTACGGTTATTTTTATTTTCTTTCATTGTTTAATGCCGCTTCTTTTGTTTCTCTCTGGTACTTTGTTTTGTCTTGCTTTTTGTCTTTTCTTTTTAATTTATTAAGTTATTTGAGAATTTGAAAGTATTTATTATATTTGAAAACTATTCATTGTCGACCAAATAATGACAAAAAGTCGGCAACCTGTTATAAGAAAGCACGAAAATGAAAATACTCCTCCTTATCTATCCTTTATCCTTTGTAAGGATGTGGTGACGTTATGGTATTTGACGAATGGTTGCTATCCATTCTTCTCTCTCCTCGGCGCGGTGTGCTGAGGATCTACCTTTCCTTCAACCACCAACCTCTCCATACCTTCCATTCGTCTGGTAATGTGTCCAAAGTCCAAAGGTATAATATATTTTGCTTGATGATTGTGGTAAGCCTAGTATTGATGTCGAGTTCTGTCAATATTGAGACATTTGTGCGATGTGCGGTTCAGGGTATGCGCATTATTCTACGATATACCCACATTTCAAAGGCCATTATACGTCGTGAGTCGGACTTTTTAATGGTCCAAGTGTCTGACGCATAGGTAGCGATAGGAAAGATAAGCGTCCGTGCTAGGCGCAGTTTCGTGTTCCTTGTTATGTCCGTATCTTTCCGGATTTTAGTAAGTTTGACCATTGCTGATCTGGCCATTGTAAGGCGTCGACGTATCTCTTGTTCGCATCCACCATTGTTTGTGAAAACAGAACCTTAGTAATTGAAACGGCTTACCACTTCAAACCCCGCTACGTTACGTATTTCTGACTGGTTATTTCTAATTTGATCGATTATCATTACCTTGGTCTTCTGTACATTAATTTTAAGTCCGTATTCACGACTAATAGTATCTAGTCTGTTCATGATGTATTCAAAGTCATTTGTTGATGATGCTAGTACTAAAGTGTCATCAGCATAGCGAAGATTGCTGATTTTTCGGCCTCCGACTGATATTCCTCCTTGCCATCTGTAATACAATGCGCATGATGTGTTCGCTATATATATTGAATAACGTGGGAGAGATAATACATCGTTGACGAACACTGGCTTTTAGTTCAAAATTTTTAGAGTATTTGTTGTTGACTCTTACGTTTGCTGTATTGTTGATACACAGTTGTTTCAGTAGGTATATTAGATGTTCGGGGATACCCATTTTTCTCAGTATTCCCCACATTTTATGCCATTTTACATTATCGAACGCTTTCGAGTAGTCGACGAGGCACAAATATGTTTCTAGATTAAAATCTCTAGATTTTCCTATAATTTTTCTAAGATTGAGAATTTGTTCTGGTGTGTCTCTTCCAGGGACAAGTCCACATTGTTCTTATGGGATCCGCGGTAAAAGTATTGATTTTAATCTCTCATTAATTATAGTTATAGCAAAGATTTCGGATTAGAGCCCAATAAGAAGGAGGAAAAGAGGTAGACTCCAAAGATCATGGAGGGATGAAGTGGACGAGGCCATGGAAAGACGAGACCTTAGAGATGGAGAATGGCAGAACAGAAAGGACTGGAGACGTTGGCTGAAAGAAGGAAGGCGGCGACAGCTGTAAAAATCCTTATATAGATAGATAGATTAATTATAGTTAGCAGAACTTTACTTGCGTGGGAGATTAGGGCTATAGTGCGGTAGTTATTACAGTCAGTTGGTGAGCCTTTCTTATAAATGGATATGAAAGTGAGCTTACACCAATCATCTGGCCATTGTCCTGTGTTCCAGATTTCATTATACTGTTTGAACATTACTTCAATGCCTATGTCTTCTATTTCTTTAAGTGCTTCCGCCGTGATTCCGTCTTCTCCTTGAGATTTTCCAATTTTTTTATTGCAGTTTCTATTTCCGATTTTAAAATATGTGGTTCCTTTTCGTCATTTATTTCTACTGGATTCACGTCTTCATGGTCACTATGAAATAACATTGCACAATATTGTTTCCATGTCGCTGCTATGTCCTCTGGATTGGTGGTGATCGTTCCCAAGTTGTCTTTGAATCTGCGTTTGAGGTTTGAACTCTTTAGTTAAGTATTTTACTTTGGCAAACAGTTCTCTAGATTCTTGACGGTCGGCGTGTTCTTGTAGTTATTTGCATATCTTTAATATGATTATTTTTGTCTCTTCTACTTGATGATTTAATGCGACTGTTTACATTTGCTATCTTGTTTTTAGTTTCTGTTGGATTTGAAGCATTGTTTCTAATTTTTCTTCGTTTTTCTACATATTTAGTGTCTCATGAGTCATCTAGTGTTTTTCTTTCCTTCGGGTTTCTTTGGGATTTGTAATATTTCTGGCATCTATAATCCACGTCGTTGTATGTTCCCATGTTTGATTGGGATCGCCAGTAATGTTTGGTGTGTTACTATGTCTTAGTGTTTCTTTGTATTTTCCAGGCCATTTAGGTATATATTTAATTGTTTTATTTGTTTCGGTTTTTTACGAAATTTAATATACGGAATTCGTATTGTAACAGTATACGGTCTGTTCCGCAATCAGCCACTGGTTTTGTCTTTACGTTGACTACTGAACTTTTCCATCGTTTGCTGACAATAATATAATCTATTTGATATTAATATCTTCCCCCAGTGAAGCCCAAGTTGATAGTCTTCGCGGATGATGCTTAAACATGGTGCTCATGATACTAAGTTCAGTGTGGATGACAAATTGTAATAGCCTTTCTCCTCTCTCATTTCGTTCACTTATTCCAAACTCACCAAC